TGAAACCAGCTGAGGTATCGTGTCTCTAAAAATGGGGGACGTCAAAAAGTAAACATAAGCTTAAATATAGCAGTATGAATTCAGCAGTTAGAGATGTAGAATACTTATCTTTGTATTCACTCACCAATGCAGTACAAAGCATACATCAAAATGATTTGGTTTTATGTCTTTTTGCTTTCATTTTAGCTAATTCCATGCCAGAAGTTACATGGTGCACCAAAGCATTGGCCTTTTTGTATTTGGAGTTCTAGGTTCAAATCCACTCGATTCATATGTCCCCTCGATGTGGTCATTTGCACGTCTCCAAATCACCATGTAACTTGACTTAATTATAGCTTTGCTTGAGGGACTAAAAATAACATGTGTCTTTCACTCTGGGCCGGAGGTGCATTGCTAAGTTTGAAGTACTGTCCAAAAGTGCGTTGAATCATGAATCAATCACATTACCAGAGAAGCCCATGGAAACAAGAAGTGCCAGACCAGAAGGCTGCCTGGCATGGCCTCGTGCCTTGCATTGTAAAGCTGCTGCTATTGCTTAACGGCCGCTTTTACAGTAGGGAAATCTGCTGTAACGTATCTCAACATATCAAGGTCCCTTACCAGAAATTAAAGAAATAGGATAAGATTATCTAGGCGTGAACATTTAGATACATGCATACACATACACATATATAAAACAAGGCACTGGAAGAGAAATACCAATTTTTCATTAGATATATCCATTAATTCCAGATACTAACAAAGCATCGCTAAAATGGCAAGCAAACTGCAAATATATTCCTGCAGAATGAAAGCAAGTGAAGGGAAGGCTTTCTTAGATTAATGCGTGAACAGCTGCATCCCCAGTTCAGTCTCCTAGCTGATATGAATAATGGATGGACCAAGAGGCAAAATGCACAATAATGTTATTTTATTAATGAAATGAATATATATATATATATATATATATGTATGGGGGCCAGCAATAAATTAAGACAACTGAAAAAAAAAAAAAAAAAGGCACCCCCTCACACTGATACGAAACCAAAATGTTAAAAACGGTCACTGCTCACATTCATAAAATGCAGTTACTTCAATCTAATATTACTGACCTGACAGAAAATATCACCCCCCAGCTAAAATAAGGGTCTTCCCACTGCAAATCCAACGTGTATATCAAAGCAGCTATAGTTTTTGAATGTCTGCTCATAAGCACAGAGTTCAGCATTTTCCAAGAAACAGAGAATTTGCATGGCTCAGGTGTCCTGCAACATTGTGACTCAGAGATCAGAAGAAAGATACTCCCTGTGGTAAAACCCTGGAAAAATGCTAGCTGCACTTAGTATGTACATAACAAAACCAATGATTTTACAATAATGCTCTGTTACTTCAAATTAAATACATTTCCAAAAATAGCTTGTTAACCATTTGGTACTGGGTTTCAGAATTACAGAAATGTTGATGCAAAATACATTAGTGCTTAATGAAGTGCTTCAGACCCATCAGTACCAAACTATTAAAGGCAATCCACTTATCTGCTACTGGATAAAAGCTCTACATTTTCTCATATGGATTGTAAGATGACATCTGCATATCTTAAGTAAAAATGCTATACTTGCATTTAGTTGCCATTACTATCATATAGTCCTCAAAGTTCTCGCTCTCTCACCTCAAGCTGAGAAAAAAAATGTCAAAAATGTGATAATGAAAATCTGGGATTTGCAGCCCTGTGAAGCATAAGTGCACTTCAGATCCTCTTATTATTTATTGAAAGAGTAGCTTAAAGTAGATATGCCCTGAAAATCCATAATGGACTGGTTCATGCACTAGCAAACTATCCAGCTGAATAGTAGGTGAAATAATAAGTCTATTAAACCAAGGAAATGAATGTAAGAGATCTTTGTTACAAAAATAGTAATAATAACTAAAATGCTAGGTTTTGTCACAATAATATCACATTTTGAATATGCCCATATGCACAACAGAGTATAGTAGCTGAAGACTGCACTTATAAAACATACACAGTCAGTACTCCAAAATATACTAGCATCTCCCCACAGTCCAAAGGATTAATCTATTATATTTTGAAATTCTTTAGAGGTAAGAAACAACTGTGGCCTCATTAAATGAGCAATAACATTTGTACAGAATGCAGAATGGCAGTAGCGTATGGTAGTGTAATAGACACTGGAAGTGCAAAATATGCCATCATGACATTGAGAAGAGTTAGCTCAATCTCGAAAGTTCTGTAGGAATTGTGAGTGCTCCGTATGTCCCAAGAACTGACCCGTTTTGTGGTTCTGACATTTTAAACACTAAATATTAGAATGAGATGATCTTTTTTTTTGCTTTCACTAGATAAATATTCCCTTCTTTGACTCTTTCTGACCTTACACATTTTTGTTTGATAGCCATGGGTGAGAAAAGACTTTGTATGTCACTCAGCCCAGGAGAGTAAGCACATAGTGCCACTGGCTCGACAAGCACGTCTTTATAAGTAAGGACCAATTAGATCAACTTCAAGGGAGACTTTGAGCAAAAATGTAAAGGGAAATGTTGTCTCAATAATATTCTGGGAAGTTTCTGAACAGTCAGGAAGCCTGAAATATTTGGTGCTACAAACCACAGTTTAAGGTCTTGGACTAGGTGGAATTATCTTTTTTTGCCTTCTCTAACTTTTTTGATTCTTAAGGCAGTAAGTGCCGTTAGGTATATTTAAACAAATAGCTGCCAAATCTTCCCTAATAATGACAGAAAAGCAGTATCTTGGATTTTAGATGTGAAGACATCTTTAAAATGATGTTGTGATATTTAATTGTCTGACTCATTTTGCAATTTTATAATTTTATCATTAAAAAAAGATTAGATATCTTTGTTTAAATTTCAAAGAGAATGTTTTATTCAAGAGTATTCACTTTTATGTAACTTGCCTAATTTTAAATACTTTCAGTATGTACATAGACATTTACCAGTCTCATGCACCAGATTTTAAAAATAAATTTTTGATTTAATACAATTATTTTTATTTATTCAACCAGAAATGTTTAACTTTCTCAGAGGAGAGTATCTATTGCCACAGGATGATGTGATGTGGTTTAAACTTTAAATAAATGCTTATTTCCTGTAAGCATAAAAAATATTTTAAATGGAAATGTGTATTTTATAGAATGGTAATATATGCCATTCTTTCTTTTCAATTTTCACATAGAATTACATACTGTGTGCAATAAAGATCTAGGTATTCTTCTGTTTCACATTAAAATATAATCAAAAATGGAGTTGGTTCAAGGCTAAGAAACATACCAGGCATTGAAAAATACTAATTAGAGTTCTTAACCAAAAGATTATCAGTAAAAAAAGCAATTCTCAGCAGAAGATAAGTGTTGGAATTTGTAGCAATTACTATTTAAAATACAGGGATGAACTTACTAAAGTTAATTATTCTGCTCTTTAAAGTAGTGTTTTGGAGATTCTGGACACAAAAACAATATTTCAGCCATTTAGCCTAGCAAAATCCATTTGCTGTAGTAGCTCTGTACTCCTGTCCATCTTTCCATCTCTATTACATCATTAGTGAACGCTGATTGCATTATTTTAGAGCACAAATTACTATAATGCTATTCTGCTCTAGTATGACAGATTTAGTTTTCATTTTGTTCTCAAAAATATGTTGGCTATAAACATATCTCCGGGCTCTGATGAGGCTCTCGCTATAACTGGTAAATTTTCTAGAGAAATCAGTCTTGTTTATCTCAAGAGAAAACAATAAATCATTTGAAGCAGAAGAACCTCTTGGCTGCATTTTTTTTAATGGAGATTTTCATACTGGGGAAAAAATGTGCATGCCTTAGCAGTTAAACATATTCAGTTCTCAAAGTTATCTTTGCTTCCCATGCCATGACCAGAGATGTTTGTTTGCGTTTTGTGGGTCATCTTAATAGCCACTTGCCTTTTCCGTTTTTGCCTTTTCCCAAAATCATGGGCCATGATTTAAGAAGGCAGCCCTGCTTCAGAAAGCAGTTAAGTATGTGTCAAAGTGCTCTTGCTGAATCAAGGCCATCCTGTTGAACTTACAATTTTCCAGTAATTTCAGGGACTGCAGTCTAGTATCCTGAAATCAAGAAACTGGTGAAACCCACTCAGTTGAAATCATTGACTAGACTAATAGTGCTTTTACCTGGGTTAGTTTCACCCTATGAATGTGCCCGACGAAGCAGAAGAAAGGACGTAGCTAGAAATTACAGCTGTTTTAAGACCTATATTGTCTCCAGTGGCAGAAATTGAACAAAAAAATGAAGGTCATCAAGTAAAAGATCTCCTTTCCCGTTTCTAGATATTTCTCAATTTGAGATAGAATCAGTGGAATATTTAATTTGATAGACCTTGGTTAAAAGGAGGAGGCAGAATGGTCAGGTTCAATGGGTCTTTCAGTAAGAACTAATCAGTGTTCTCCCTAAGAACATCCATTGACTGGCGTGAGGAGGTGTCACAGAGCTGGGCTAGCTTCCTTTGCTGTTTGTTTCTCTATCTTGTCTGACAACTTCATCACAATCCATCTTTGTTAACCAATTGCACTGACTTGCACATGGCTGAGTGTGTATCAACCTTCATTAGGTCAAATCAAAGACAAGTGTACATCTCTGCCTTGCCTGTAGAAATAGATTTATGCTTTGAGAAGGGTGGGGGGAAGGTCGGTTGGTATTTGGCTTGAAACTTGAATCTATTAAAGTATGAAATTAATAGCATCCAGAAGTAGAACATATGGCATCCATATACATGGTACTGTATCTGCTTGATGATGTCACGCTACCTCTTAAGATTTGGGAAATGCACTTTTTAAAGCATTTAGCTGTGTTGCGGGCTAAACCTTTCAGACCTGACTGAAACAGAGCAGGTTTGATTTGGTCTGAACGTTTATTATCCCTGGTATTTGCAGGCCACATACAAACTCATGGTTTTCATTAGCTTTGCATTTCACACACAGCCTAATTTCATTTATTCTTATTTTATGCCCCTGCCAGACCACCGCTCTTGATAAGGAGAGGCAGGTTTTCCGACGAAGACGCAACCAGGATGTGAGGGGACGTTATAAGGCACAGCAAGCTCCACCTGAACTCAACTCCGAATCGGAAGACTATTCACCAAGTTCATCCGAGACTGTTCGCTCACCTAACTCACCCTTTTAATAAAACACTTTTACTCAAAAGTCTTGGCTTTAACCCTTTGAGCCCTGAAAATCCTTCAGACGTGGGAAGTGATTACATCTGATCTGTCTAGTGCTAAATGCTTGAATGGTGAAACACAAAAGGGTGTTTACAGAATCTTTGTAAGAATAATTTCCTAATTGATTGAAATCCTTATTCTCTGCTTAGATTGCAACTTGCTGCTAATATCATCCTCAAAGGGTTAAGGCTATTTTGCTTTTTTATTTAAAGGTAGAAGCAGTGAATGTTTTCATCAGTGAAGCTAGGAACTGCAGTATGTAATTTTAGCACATGTTAACCCTCTGAGTAAACGATCAACTTAATCTTGACAGTCCATACTAGGGTTTTATTCTGGCTTTTTTGCTTTTATACGCACATATCTTTTATAGTACCCTAAAGCTCCCTGCCTCTTTCTGGCCAAAACAATACCAAACACACTATTGCTTAGGGGCTGCAAATATCCGCTTTAAAAACAAAAATAAAACGAAACAAACAGTATCTTCTACAGCAGCTCATTGTAAACGTGCTTCATACTTCCACAGAAGAGTGACTGTTTTTGGAGGATATTATGCAGAGTAAATGGGAAATTCAGTTTAGGGCAGTCTGATAGTTTACAGAAGATGACATGATGATGTCCTCAAAAGGTTGCTTCCGTATCATTTGCTGGTAATAACAGTGCAGGATCTTGGGAAATGGCTTGAGGACACGTTCTGTCATGTAATGGTATGTAATGATCTAATTTAAAAGTTCCTGGTTCCTTTACCTCACATTCAAAAAGGTACAGACAACCTCTCAGCATGACCTGATTATTCCATAGATAGCCACAGTTATTCCTGTGGTGAGAGTCACTTTTCAAGATTAACATTAATAGGAGTTACCCTTAAAATAGCGAGAAGATTTCTAAATTTAGGAAAAAGTAAACCTCTTAAAATATATGTAAAGCCTGTGGATGAAAGCCTTTTCTAAACTGAATTGGTGAAAGTTTCATCTTAGAATGGAGAAACTAAAAATGATTCACCAGTCTGTTTGCAATATTTAATAAAATGGGCATTTACACAGAGTATATATATATATATATATATACACATATATATATACTTCCGGTTTGTTAAAACCTCAAGACAGCTTTATAGTATATTATTTAATCATTATCCCAAAGTTGACTTCCACAGAAGTATTAAGCTTTGTAAATTTTGGGTTCAAATACGGTAATTTGAAAGAAAATTGATTATAAATTCACTCAGAATTTCACTTGAAAGAAAAATGGCACACTTCCAAAATCCTATTCTAAAATAATAAATAACATTATGAAATTTATTCTTTTTCTTATTACTCATATAAGATTGACCATATTTGAAGTTTTCTCCTCTAAAGTTAACATTTTGTCATGGTATTTTTGTAGTCACATAATTGTGGTTTACCTTCTCTCTCTCCTTTCTTTCTTTCTCTTTCTCTCTGTTTCATATCATACAGATAGAATTATCGACATGCTGCCCCAAGAGTGAGGCAGATTTTGCTGATCTTTCTGGGAAGTATAAATAAAGTTTGGAGGAACAGGGCAAGTTACTCATAATGCAATTTCTATTCTGAGTTGTGTTTACTCACAGAATTGTTGCTAAAAGCAGTTGCGGCACTGAATGTGTACCTGCAGCTTGTTGGCTTCGGGATAATGCTCTTCTGCAATTCTAGTTTCAAGTATCAGTTGAAACATCTTTTAAGAAACATTGAAATTGTTTTGTGTCTCCATGCTTCAAAATGCATCATTCATTTTTTCAGACATGAGAATTTATATATTAAAAGCTTTGAAGATTTTTTTATACAGGAATTTCAGTGTTGTGAATTTTCGCACAAGTGCTGCAAGAATTTCACACAGAATGCAATTGATTTCACCCAACTTTAATAATCTAAAAGTGAAACATTTAGTCTAAAGTAGATCTCTAGACTTCCTTGTCAATACGGAGATGGGCATTCCCAAGTCTGATTCATCTATCATGGACATGCATTCTAGGAATACTCATGCTTTGGAGACACCTACTGCCCTCGCTCTACTGTAGAAGGAACCCACTGTTGGAAGCTTGTATCAGTCACCAAACCTCAGAATATTAATTTAGTAGAATGAATCTTACCCTAAGCCATTAGGAAACTAATCTCTGAATGGACATCTATGGGCAGAAGCTTTGTGCTTGTGCACAGCCTCTTGCAGGATTTATGCCTTTATGGTTGACTAATGTGTAATTAACAGTGGGCTGTTGGCTAGAGGTCAACATTTTAACCCAAGTGAAGTAACCAGGTGGCTTGCTGGCGAGCTCCACAGGGGCAACAAGTGCATAAAGGAACTGCCATGCAACAGTACTCAAATTGCAGGATCTGGGAATAAGCTGCATCTGTGGCAGGTCACTGACCATGCCCAGCCAACCTGACATGGACTTGGTAGATAGGTCAGAGATAGGCCAGGTAGGGTTGTAATGTTAATGTCTCTAGTCCGGTAACATTTGGATAGGGCAAGGGTGTGTTTTTGTTTTTTTTTCCCCTGGGACTAAATCCTCAGCCAAAGTAAATCCTCCCTTGCCACCTACTTACATCAGTTTAGAGTAGATCAGGATCTGGCACATGTTCTTTCGGCCTTGCCCTTCCCACATTATATTACAGCTTTCCCTTTAGATACAGCTCAACCATGTACATGCAAGACATATTTGGTAAAAAAAAGTTGTCCATTAATACCACATGCTCCTTGACTATTGGGAAAATTCGGCAGTCTTAAAACAAAGGCCGATGTTCATTCTTAATTAGGGAAGTTAGGAGAAAAAAAAAAAAAGTTTCGCCTCATGCATGCAAAATATTATTCAAAACCTTGTCTGGGATTTTCCTGTCACCTTTGCTTTGCCTAGGAATCCAGGGTTATCATTAAAATAAGATGTTTGGCTCCTTCATCTTTTACCATCTTGTATTACTTAAAATGTATTTGAAAATAATCCCAGATCCTAAAATCCCTACTCATCCCCAGCATCTTACATGTTTCTGATCTTTGGTTCATGTTTTATGAACATAACTATAAAAAAATCTTAAGTTATTTTTAGGCCTGTGTGAGATTGAGTTTCAAATTGCTCATAGCTGCTTTTTAGGCTTCAAGGAAAAGTATTGGAATATTTAAACTGTTTTAAAAGTTGTATCGATGATGGTTTTAAATATATCCGTATATGTATAAATATGTAGGTATGTATGCATATATATGTGTGTGTATGTATGTATGGTTTCATGGAAATAGCAATGGTTTAGGCTTGTTTGCCAACTTCTGCCCTTTTTCTTTTCTAAGCTCTGAATTCCTGGGGGTAAATGAAGACAGAATACATGGCCCTAAAAATACTTGGAAACACCAGTGAAAAAGGGAATCAAAGATAACAAGCTATTTCTGATGTGATAATCTGAGAGGCAATATAGCATGTCGTGGCCGTTTTACTGTAATACATAGCAGTCCTGCTGACTTTTTTCTTCGTTTCCCTTTCAGATCATTGCATTGGTGCTAAATGTGACAGAAATATTTTAATGCTTATTACGTATACAAGGACAACTTCCTCCCACCTATGTCTATGTAGTTAATTGAGGCACTTAAGGATGGCAGACACTGTTGGCTCTGTCTATCACCAAGGAGATAGAGAGAAGCACTTCCAAAGGGTGATTCAGGTCATCTAATATTTGGTCTCCAGAGATGCCTGTCAGTCTGAACTTACTATTAAAGAGAGATTAGAGCAGGGTAGCTTCCAGCTTAGTTCCTCTCAATTAAATGCAAGTGGGGGTAACATGGGCTCCAATCTAAGTGCAATATTCTAGTGAGCTTACCCTGAAGTAAGCAAACTTTGAAATGAATATGTTGAACTGGTAGGTGAAAGCACAGGATTAGTTAAATGGTTACGTGCTGGGCTTCACCTCATCTGGATGTATCCATCCAGGAGTTAGGCATCTAATCTAAGCCAGTCGTTTAAGCTTCCCTTATAGTTGCTAGGGACTGGCTTTTCTAGTGGATAATTAAAATTCTAGGGTGGATGAATCGCTCACTAGATGAGACATCTGTCCTAAATATATTTAGAATATGATTTATTAACTGATGATATATGTAATATTGCTGTTAGTAATAATTTTCATAGCATTAATGTACAAAAAATCCAGAATACTACGGTTATACTCAGAGGGTTAACAGAAAAGCACAAGGCATGCTGATTACATTGGTGTATCCAAACTGCTTTGCTTTTTTAGCCAGTGTTTGCTGATTTTTTCAGAAAATTCTTGGAAAATTTCAAGTTTGAAATAATTTAAGTGTTGTTGTTTAAGGAATTTCTATAACCAAATTAATCTTATTTTTAGTTTAACTTATCACAGGAATAATATGTATCATTGATGCAGTGTAAGTCTGTAGTTATCAATTTTATTAATTCCACAAGTGATTCCAGAAATCTCTCTTTTTTTAAGTACTTACTATAGAGCTTACAATGGTGGCATAGGTGACTGAGACTGTCTTTCTTATTGGTAAACAAACAATATTGTAATTTCAAGAAAGTCCTAAGAATCAGCTTTTCAGTTTGGTAGTGTACTAGTTAGGGGAAAGCTATCTCATGACATGCATTGTGTAAATCATCTTTGTAGATGAAGATTGTTCATATTAATGAACACATTCTTTTTCCTTGACATTGTAGCAGAAACTGTTTACTCGTTAATGAACAACCAATACATTAATTTGCTTCAGACTGTTAGAGGGGAAAGTGAGATTCCAGTCATTGACAATGTTATTGCTTTACAGTAGCCCTCATCTAATTTAAATGTGGTGCATACTACAATAAGCAAAGCCAAACCTGTGAATAAACTCCTGAAAAAGCCTGGTGGGTCTTTATTCAGTTGGGTGCTTGCATACAGCAGTGTGTGACAGCAGGAAGGCTTTCAAGAATTGTTGAAATGAAAGCGATATATCCACAAATAAGAGCTAAATTGCAATCCTTTCCCTATGGGGCATATATGTTTAAAAAGAAAAAACGAAAGAAAAGAAAAGAAAAATTGGCTCAGAGGTTTGCAGCGCTACTGTATTACCACAGGGCAAGTACATTAAATCATTATTATTTGCTAGCCTGGGGTATATGTTAGAAAATGGCATCTTTTTTATTTAGTTTAGATTGTGGGCAGGGAGAGCTTTCCTAATATTATTGCAGTGCCTGCTAGTGCTGCCATGGTTAAAGCTGTGTTAGTATTTCCATTATAAACTCTTATTCTCAAAGGTTTTTAATTTGATCGTAAAAATCTGCTTCAGGCAGAAACTTGGCATACAATTTTTCAGCTCAGAGTGATTCTTTTCCTAAAAAATGAGGGAAATCAGCTCGATCTCTTTGACATCTATTTTCTAAATGTACACAAACATTCACGCCCACAGATAAAAATAGCAGTAACTTAAACAAAGGCCATTTTTGCGCAGCTCATTTCAAACGCGTTAAGTTCTCAAGCGTATCTGAGAGATCTTAACCACAGAGCTGACAGCTCAGAACTTTGGGGCACTTTGAGAACCATTGAGAAAACTCAGTTACCAAGAGCAAAAAATGTTCCACATATGGGATAGGTTTATTTCCATGGGATAAACATTAAAAGTTCGCTCAGTAACAGGTATGTATATACACCCTGCTGAGTGCTCATGTAATTCCTAAACCCATTAGTTTAAGTCACTCCATGTAGCATATGCTAAATGTGAATATGCTGAATTTCTCTGTAACACGAGGAGAGGAAGTAGTTTCCTCTTGCATTTCAGAGTAGCACCATGGACAAAGCTGAAGTGACACCGGTCAAAAGCATCCAGAAAGAGAAGAATCAACGAAACATGTTTTCTCTTAGAGGAAAAAAATTGTCTGAATAAGACAGGGCTGAAAGCTCACACTGAATGAGTGAGGTACAAAAAGCATTTTAAAAGGCATAGCTATGGAATTATTTGAAAACTATAAAAGTGCAAGGGAGCCACTCAATATAATGAATCCATGTGCAGCGCCAATCAGCTACTAATCTGGAGCAAATTTACAGCTACAAACAGGCATAATTAATATACAAATCAAAGACACCCAGCAGCAGATGGAATTGAAATCCTAGTTCTTTTAGCAAACATAATGCAGACCTCTTCTTCATATATTCACTAAACGAGACCGTGTGTAGCTGTTTGAAGTAGTGTTACATACTGGCTAGTGGGGAAATTAGGTGTTTAAAAAATGAGTGTAAATTAATTCTTTTAAAACCAGTTCCATAGCATGCTTCGACCTTAAGCGTTCCTTTTGGGAAATGACAGTTTTCCAAAAGTGCCGTCTGTGTATTTTATCCTTGTTTGGGTACACGCTCGGATAGCCCATGCCAAACGCCTTCAATAAGAATTGAGTTGGCATATTGAGGCAGTGGTTCATATCATACCATCTGTGAAGTTTTCTGGAACAGTGGTCTGGTCCACAGGGAAGAACAAAACATCCATGTCGTGAAGAGTCAGGGAGTGACCCACCAGTAATGGTGATGTCCTCCTAACCCTTCTCAGCAATTGACCTGAGTCATGAACCACAAAGCTTGGTCATTTCCAAAAATGTTTAGCCTACCCGAGTGGGTGGGGAGGGGGAGTTGGACAGAATTGGTGCCTTTTCTTGGCGTCAGCCTACCTGGATGCACAGCACCTACAAATTGGTCTAAGGGTACAACAAATGCTTCCTAACGTTCTGGCAAGCCACAAGTAAATATCCGGTTGGGAAAATTACTGTTTATACGAAAGCAGAGAGCTAACAAAAAAACATATAAATTTAGCATTAGCCATGATAAATTTAGCTGACATTTGGAAGATGGTTTCAGACCAACAGATTAAACAGATTTTGGAGGGATTTTTTGTCTTTTTTAATTTTTCAGTAGCAGCATTGGAGTCAAGAAACTCCAGGTAATTTTCAGGTGGCATTTGATCTGTTATGAGCAACTTTCCTCCTGAGATGTTTTTGGTATGCCCTGCTGTGTGTCTCCTGCGGTAGGAAAACGCTGGCATGAGAAACCTAGAAGATCCTTTCTATTTCTATGTTCCTAATAGATTTTGAAGTTAGCAATGAGAGTTACTCATATCCATCTAATTGTAGGTGCCTGCAGAAAAGAGAGGTGTGGTGAAAGAGAAGTCTAGCTTCCTTGTCCAGAGTAACTCGCAGGAAGAGCTGACATTATGACAACTACTACTACTACTATTGCCGTTCGGAAGTAATTACTTTTTTAAAGCAAGTATGTCAGGTGCCTAGAATGTTCTTCAACATCTGCTAGTAAGACTAGAAGAAGATAAATAATAGCATATATATTTTTTTTCTTTTTAAACAGGATGCCCACAGCTATTCAAGCAATGTTTCTGGAGTCCATAATATGATGAGAATTTGAGGACTGATGAGAATGAGAAGGAAGATTATTTGCAAGTTATGAATGCAAAAGATTGAATGTAAAATGGAATTCCCGATGCTTTATCTTGCAAAGGAGAATGATAGATTTTTCTCTTCAGCAAAGTTCAAGCACATAGGAAAAGGCAAATAAGCTTCTAAGATATGAACTAAACTTCTGACAATTTGGCATAGATTACGAATCTTAACTAGGTGTAATCTTTGTGAAACTACTTTGGTGTGATTGACAATTGAAATTTAAGGTGAATAACATCAGATCTTGATAACTTTTGCCATTGATTGTTAAGTGGGGGAGTCGAATTAATTAACTGATGCTAAAAAACAGAAGGAGTTCAGGAGAGTCATCTCCAGAGAGAGGCTATGTGACGAAGGGAGGAGGGGGACTCTTGACTAATTCTCAAAGCTAATTTCTCATTTGCCATTTGTGCTGATCTTTGGTGCCTTCTTTGAGGGGGAAAAAATTACTGCAACTGGTCCAAGGTTAAAGACATATCAGCTATAACTTATTTTTGATTGTATTAAGAAATTAATAATAACCTTTTATATTCTGCCTGAAAGAAAATTATTAAAGGATTAGTTGAGTGTGAAATTAAATAGCACTTTTCTCATGCATGCTAAAAAGGTATCTAAGGAACCGATTACCTTTAAAGAAGTTAAATTATTTCTAAATGATTTCAATTTAGAAATTTTTTCAATATTCCCTTTAAAAAATAGGAAACTTAGAAATTGCTATGTAATTTGAATGATACAGAAGAATCTTTAATTTTCCAGATACTAATTCAATAATTTTAAAACAATATATATTACCATAAAAATCAGGCAGGAAACCAAATGGCATTTTTCAAATCCTGCCATTTATGCTGATAAATGTAGATGAACAGAAATGAGACCCAATATTATCACCTTAACACGATAATGTGAACAGTTTTTAAGTTTTTGCTTATTTTTAGGTAAAACGTGAATGATAAAAAAGAGTAGAAAGTGACAAATCACCTTACTTAATACTCTCTGCATAGTGTCAACTTCTAATAAGCTCATGTTTCTTGAGCAGAGAAGCATTACAATATATTTCAATTTATAGTCATCACAATCAAGCCACTAAGGAGTTGCATCCAGCTGCATTCCTGAGAGGCTGTGCACAGGCTTTAAAAATTAGTCATTCAGCCACATCCTGGTTTTCCCACATAAACCTCTGCACTAAAGTTAGTCTTGATGAGAGTGATTAAAAAAAAAAAAATTCAAGAAATTCGCACTTCATGTGTTAATTTCCCAGCCCAGGAGGTGAGTTTGGATAAGCATATGGAAATCAAATATAGCTGTAGACTGACAGCTTTTGTATCTGGTGCCCTTCAACACTATATATACCAATTCTCATGAGAAATGTGAATACTATTTTACAGTGGAACCCTGCTAAATCCTACTAATGACTGGAAGATCCATTGTAAATGATTGGATTTTGGGAATTAGCAGGTGAATGAAGAAATATAATAAAAGACCAGAGGATAATGCATTGCAAAGTGTATTTTTTCATTTGTTCTGACAATTGATTTAGTTTTAATTTCATACTTCGTACATTATCAGCAAGTGTGCTGGAGTGTAAAAGCTACAAATAAGGAGTCTGAGTAACATGAGACCCCACCAGAGCTCTCTGATTATTTTTGCTGAAAGGCATAAAAAGTGCTGTTTTATCTATGTTGATGAAAGCATGTGTTTTATCCCACTCTCATTTACAAGTTAATAGTTGCTATTTAACAGCTGGTTCATAGAAGGATTTTAGGTGCAGGAAATAACGGCAAAACTAAAGACTAGTCTTTCAGTCTTTCTAGAAGATGAATTTACATGTTCACAGATATTATAAATTGACAACAGGGTTATAGACATGTGGTACTGCAACTTTCTCTTTTTGACACCATTTTCCCAAAGAGTGTGTTCTACATCATCTTGACAGCACACGTTTCTGAAGCCCTGACACGAGGGCTAGTGTTTCATGAACACTTTAAACCTTCATAAACCTTCACTGTCTTCACAAGATACAGTCTCATTCTTCTCTGCTCCCTTTCATATGGCCCCAGCCCCTCCAGGCTGCTCGTTTTCTTCTTCGTCCTACGCTCCCCTTCTCTTGTGCGGTGCAGATGTTGCACGTCCATGTGGTAAAACAATTCAGGGGACCTGCTCCAGAGGAATAACAAAGTTTTAACCTGCATTAATTCCGTGGTTCTGTTCATTGCTCCCATACATCAGCACACAAGGGAAAGGGTATGAAAAAGTGACAGCTGTAGTGGGAAGGTAGGACTGCTTTCAGCAGAAATGGTGGCTTAAAGTATAAATGAAAGTAAGAGCGAAGGCCTAAGCGGTGTATGTTTTGATTTTTGAGATCAAGTTCTATATTTGAATTTGCTGTTGTTATTTATGTCTAGATCTTTCAAAGCATTTTTCTTTTGAAT